ATCCCAGGACCCCGGGATCATGACCTGAGCTGAAGGCAGATGCTCAACAACTGAGCCACCCAGCATCCCTAGAAGGTGTTATTCCTATCCCCACTTGTGCAGTGAACAGTCTGCTCATGGGGCGCCTGGGTGGCTCAGTCGGTTAAGCATCTGCCTTCGGCTCTGGTCGTGGTCCCTGGGTCCTGGGATCGAGCCCTGCATTGCATCATGTCCTGCCGGGTTCCCTGCTCGGGGGGGGGGGGGTGCAGGGGGGCTGCTTCTCCCTCTCCCTCTGCCCCTCTCCCCCCAGCTCATGCTCTGTCTCTTAAATAAATAAAATCTTTAAAAAACCCAATCTGCTCAAGGCATCCCTAGAGCCCTGACAGAGGGTCCCAAAGCCAGCCTGTGAACCCATTCTTTACCTCGTGGCCGGGGAAGACATGCAGTTGAGTGTTGTGGACCCCTGGATGGGGACAAGCAGAAAGGGGTGGGAGAAGCAGGAGGCCCAGTGCTCCAGGGTCCCGCAAGAACCCATTGGCTATATGGAGCGCCTGGCTGGTTCAGTGGGTGGAGCACGACTTAATCTTGGGGCTGTGAGTTCAAGTCCCACATTGGGTGTAGAGATTGCTTGGGGAAAAAAAAAAAAAAGCCCACAACAAAACCATTAGCTATATTGCAACTCTCACCCCCAGGCCTGGTCTCCCCAGCTGCCTTTCTGGCACCCTATCTGCTGACTCTTGGCTTATCTGTTCCTCCGTGCCTTGCACAGGCCTGGCACACGCTTGCTTGCGCTCCAGGGCTTGTTGTTGACATGAATGGCCCAATTAATGGAACTAATTAGGGGGGTAGGGGGGCTCTCCAGAATGCTCCTGGACGGCCCTGAGGGTCTGGGAAGAGGACCAGGGAGGAGGATTGCAGGGGTGACTTACTGTCCAGTTCACAGGCCTCAACTTCACAAGTTGGCACTGAGATCCCCTTTTTTTTTTTAATTGACTTTAAGGAACAGGAGGTTTGGCGGATTTCCTCAAAGTTGCTGGCCTCTCCCCAGCAGCAGGGGATGGGGGGTAGAGGTCAGGGTGGTGCAGGCAGGATCCATTACACAGGCTAAATCAGGAACTAGAAGGAATTGCTCTGTGGTAGCTCTCTTGCCAGAGAGGATGATTATCTTTCCAGGAAAGGCTGAAGAAATCCTTAGCAGAGCCCTTGGTTTTCTACCTTGGAGAAAATGTCTGGGGCAGGCTGATGGGTGTGGGGAAGGATTAACCCAGGTGAGGGTGGGGAGGAGGTGGACAGGGGCGTTGCGGGGTAGAGAGTAAGCTACGACCAGCCCAAGGTTGTGGCAGTTAGTTCCCCCCCACACCCCGCACCTCTACCCGCCCCCCCTGCCCGGGGTTCCCCATTGTTACCAGAGACAACATCCTGTTTCTCTTACTTGCCTCACTGGCCCAGGCCCTGGATCCCCTCACTCTGCTGAGGTGGGGGTGAGGGGATGGGGGATGGGGCTGGCTCCAGGTCCAGGGTCCAAGGACCTCACAGCTGGGGAAACTGAGGTTGGGGGGGGTGACTTGAGGTCACAGCAGTGGCTTACGTGGGCCAGCGCTTGGTTGGGACCCCAGGGTTCCCTCAAAATTACACACTTCAGAGGGGCCCAAAGGGAACCATCGAGTCTGACTTCTTCTCCCTTGGGTTCATGAGGTCGGTTCCCCCCTGTCCAAAAGGCTCTCTCAGCAAGTGGGATTCTCACATCCGAGGAGTGTATTCAGATCGATGGAGCTCTGGGGTTCTCCAGCACAGGGTGTGGACGAGCAGGCCTGAGGTTGGGTCGCATCACAGAGCCTCTAGTGATTTAGTCTTTTTTAAGATTTTATTTATTTATCTATTTGTCAGAGAGAGGGAGCGCACAAGCAGGGGGAGCGGCAGGCAGAAGGAGAAGCAGGCTCCCCGCCGAGCAGGGAGCCCGATGTGTGGGACTCGATCCCAGGACCCGGGGATCATGACCTGAGCCGAAGGCAGACGCTGAACCCACTGAGCCACCCAGGTGTCCCCTCTACTGATTTATTCTTACATTGTTTATTGCCGAGCACTGAGGACACAGCAGCAGATAAAAGAGAGGTGAATCCCTACATTCTTGTGGGGGAGGCAGATAATCAACAAGATAAGGAAGTAAAATAAAATATATAGCATTACGGATAATGATTCTCTGTGGAGAGAAGTAAAACAGAGGTTTGGATAGAGAGGAGACAGAGGGGATGGGGTGGAGGAGTGTACTTTTATTTTATTTTTTATTTATTTTATTATTTTTTAAGATTTTTATTTATTTATTTGAGAGAGAGAGAATGAGAGACAGCACGAGAAGGAAGAGGGCAGAGGGAGAAGCAGACACCCTGCTGAGCAGGGAGCCCGATGCGGGACTCGATCCCGGGACTCCAGGATCATGACCTGAGCCGAAGGCAGTCGCTCAACCAACTGAGCCACCCAGGCGCCCAGAAGTGTACTTTTAAATAGAATGGATAGGGACGCCTGGGTGGCTCAGCCGGTTAACCGTCTGCCTTCGGCTCAGGTCATGATCCCAGGGTCCTGGGATCGAGTCCTGCGTCGGGCTCCTTGCTCAGCGGGGAGCCTGCTTCTCCCTCTCCCACTCCCCCTGCTTGTGCTCTCTCTCTCCCTCTGACAAATAAATAAAATCTTTAAAAATAAATAAATAAATAGAATGGATAGGTGGCATATGGGCAAAAACTTGGAGGTGAGAGATAGAGCGAGATAGATACCTGGAGAAAGAGCCTTGTGCAAAGGAGCAACAATAGGTGCAAAGGCCCTGATGTAGAAAATACATCTGGCACAGTTAAGGAAAAGCAAGGAAGCCAGTGTGGCTGGAGCAGAACGACAGAGACAAGGATAGAAGTTGAGTCAGAAAGCTAGGGGAGGTCAGACCACCCAAGGCCTTGTAGGTCACAATGAAAGCCTCTGGCTTTAACTCTGAGTGAGGTGGGAGCCCCTGGACAGTTTGTGCAGAAAGAAGACAGGATCTGATTCATGTTTTAGAAAGATCATTCTGGTCTCTGTATGGAAAAGAGAAACAGGAACACCAGTTAGCAGGCTACTACAATAATTCAGGTGAGAAATGATGAATGCTCAGACAAAGGGTAGTCATGACGACATCAGTGAGGTGGTGAGATTCTGAATATTTTGAAAGTAGAGCTACCAGGATTTACTAATACGGGTAGTGAACTGTGATGGGAAGAGAGAAGTCAAGATAACGTCCAAGATTTTGGCCAGAGGAACTAGAAAGTGGCAGTTGCCACTTACAGAGGTGGGAAGGCCTGAGGGAAGGGCAGGTCTGGGGGGAGATCAGGCCATTTATCTGCTGTATGACTTTGGGTAAGTTGCTTAAACACTCTGAACCTCAGTTTCCTCATCTTTACAATGGTTATAATAATGGCAATCCTGCAGAGTGGAGGTAAGAGCTGAGTGAGATCATGAATTCACAGGATTGGCCCATATGTGGACTCAGTATATGTCCCGCCCATGGCCTGGGGATGGCCCGCGGCCAACACGTGGGCTGGGAAAGCACCCCGAAGGAGAGGAGCGCTATGTCAGTAAATCTGTGCTCTAGCTCCTCTCCCCTGCTTTCTCCAGGCACAAGTGGGCCGGGCATTTTTGATATTTACGTTTTCTTTCTTCAAGGTCTTTGACAGTTTTAGAAATGGTGATGGTACTGATGGAGGCTGGTGGTGGAATGAGGATCATTGATACTCCCGAGGCTGTGAAGCTTACAAAATACTTTCATGGCCATTATCTCTTCTGAGTCCAGAAAGGCAAAAAGTAGACCCATTTTAGGAAGTAGGAGGATGAGGTATTTAAAAACAAAACAAACCCAGGCTGTCTCTGTATCAGGCTATCTCATGGAACTTCACTTAATCTTGGGGGGAAAGTGGGCAATGAGGGTCCTTAAGTGGGTCTCCCTCTTCCTGTCCTGAGTGGGAGTGCCACCCCACTGTGTCCAACTCAGCCCAGCTACCTGATGGACGGTGACCCCACTCCTCTACCCGCCGGAGACAGCCCACAAGTGCTTGCCCACGTCCTATTCTCCCTGTGTAGGTCACTCTCTGCTGGTGTGTCTAGGCCGCAGTCTTCCTGCTTCTGAGATTTGGGCAAGTGGGTCTCTCACATTGTTCCATTCCCGTTACCCCTGCCAGTTAACTCCCAGTTACTGAGTTAACAGAGGATGGGACTGGAGACCAGAGGAATCAATGTGCCTGAGTCACACCATTAGAAAGTGCAGCCTGGGTTCTACAACCAGCAGGAAGAATTCCTGCATCTGTTCCTTCCACTTCTTCTAGCCCAGCAGCCTCCTCCCCTCAATATACCAGGTGCCAGACACAGCTGTCTCTTCGTGGCTCCCCCCACCCAGGCAAGCTGTCCTAGGGTGGGGCTGGGCTTGGTGGGGCAGCCGGGTAGGGGCCAGTGAGGCTATGCCCCTGCAGGCAAATCCAGCCAGAGATTCATTCTGAGCAACAGTTCTGACTGGTGAGAGCGGCTGCTGACCGGTGGGGGTGGGGGATTGGGAGGGTCAGAAGTGTCAGGTCAGGGTGGATCAAGGGGCCTCAGAAGAAAACTTAGAATTGCCTGGGGAAGAACTCCTGCTGGATTGAGAGGAGTTGGGGAATGCCAGGGAGCCTGAGGGTGTGAATGGGGTGAGGTGGGGGGGGAGATCTAGGGAACAGTAGGAGCCCCTGGAGGCTGGGAAGGGCAAACGGTAAGTCCTAGCCCCAGCTTTATTTTTGCCTTGGTGTCTTCATCTGCGCTATGGTAAGAACCCTCCTGCCCCAGCTACCTTGCCAAGAGAAAGGGCTTCTGGAAAGCAAAAATGACCCATAAACTGAGGTGTGGGGGGGAGCATAAGGGTAGAAACTGAGGCGGAGGGGGGAAGCCTGCCCACCCCGAGTGTTTGCCAGGTGAGGATGGAGCAGGAAAGGGGTAAGCCTAGAGCCTGGATTGCCTCCACAGTCCCGGACCCAGCCATGCCGGTCCCACTGCTCCCGTTACTGCTGCGAACGCTGGCGGGCCGCCTGCTTCTGCCTGCCGCCCGCCTGGCCCGCCGGCACCTCCTGCCCCTGCTGCGCCGACTGGCCCGCCGCCTAGGCTCGCAGGATGTTCGAGACGCTTTGCTGGGCTGTGTGTTGTTCGTCCTCAGCCAGAGACGCCCGCCCGACGCTGAGGAGGCCTCCAGAGCGGCCGGCCAGGAGAGGAGGGAGAGGCTAGCTCCCCCCAAATGAGGCCGCGGTCCCTGATATTGGCTGTGTCATCGAAAGCCTTTCTTCTGGACTATGACAGTCCTGGCACCATCACTGAGCGCAGCCTACCCAGTGTGCGGAAGACACGGTGGGGGACTGAACACAAGAAGGGTCTGACCAGGACGCCTCCCCTCTCCCAACAGGAATGACTGGAAGGATGCCCAGCATCGAGCAGAAAACTGATCATTACCCCTCCTGAATTCCTCCTCCCAAGACCCCTTTTTCCTAATCACATCTGGCTCCAGGGAAGGGAGGAAGTGACTCTCCTCCCCTATCCCCAAACGGTGACATGAGGTCCAATGAGGGACATTGCTTACCCAGGGACAACTGACAATTTACCTGAGAGGCGAGATTTTAACCCAGACGGTCTGTCTTCCAGACTCAGGATTTACCCTAAAAGAATAGGACCTTGGTTCCCTAGGGAGTCAGTCTTGCCCCAAAGCCCAGCATGCTGCAGGTGCTCAATAAACATTTGTTGATTTGAGTTCTTGGGACGCCATTTAAAGTCGTGTCACCCACACAGCTCCTACGCTCCTACGCAGAGAGAGAGCCTAACGTGGCCAGGGGGTGGGGGTGCGGGTGCGGGTGGGGTGGGGGCGGGGGTGGGGAAACCACTCAAGGGTTCCTTTTGCTTCCTATCCCATTGTCCCGCAGTCCTCATCTCCTGGAGGTTGTTTCCCTTGTGTAACTTCAGTCAGTATGTCACACTGTGACCCAGCAGTCTTGGGTCCGATTTGGAGGTCTGGCTGGCCAGCTCAAGGTAAGGAGGAAAACGTCACGTCCTTGAGCCAGGTTGGAGACTCTTCTCACCTAGTGGTGTGGGAAGAGGGAGATTTGTTTGCCAAGGGACCCCGCGGGCAGCCACCCAGGGGAGCAGTGTAGAAATGCTTCCCCTGAGGGGCCCCGTGTCCCTGAAGAGATCTAGACGGGGTGCGGGTGGGGGAGTGACCAGAGGCACTCACCTCATTATTTCCGCCTCCCCAAAGAGCAGCTCCTAAGAGGTCAAATAAGAGCTGTCAGATTCATTTGCATTCAGCCTCCGGGTAATTTGCTTATTGTTCCCAAATAATAGTCCTCCCTCCCTCCAGGAGTCTTGGGCTGTGGGTTCAGAGGGGGGAAATGAGGGATGCGGGCCCCTTTCCGGACCCCCATCTGGTCCCCACACCTTCGTTCCGAAGCTCGGCCCCGGGGGAAGAAGTGAGGCCCGAGCTGCGCGCCCCCCCCCCCCCCAGCCCCGCGGGGCTTTCCGCCAGACCCCGGCCTGGCCACCCCTCGGCACCATCTGCTTCCCCCTGGCGTCCTCCAAAGCCAGTGCACGTGCTCACCCCTCTCGGGAAGGCGACCTGGGGCAAGGGGCGGAGTGAAGGGAGTTCCAGCTCGTGGTCCCCTAACCCCGTTCCCCTCCGGGGTCACGGGCACCTTTTCTTCCGTCTGATCCCGGCCTCCCGTGCCGCCGGCCTCCCACAGCGCTCCTCGCTCCCGAGCGGCGCGGGGCGGGACAGGGCAGGTCGCCGGGCGCGGGCCGGGCGCCGGCGTGGCCGGTTGCAACCCCTCTCCCGCCGGCAGCGGAGACCGGTCAGACCCGGCGCGGGCTGCGAGCTCCGGCCATGGCCCCAGCCCCGAGGTGAGGAGGCCAGGACGGGGAACCAGAGGGGAATTTTCGTCCTCCTCCTCCAAATCCGGCGGGTGCTCGGGGAGCTGAGGCGGGCCGCTGGGCGGTGGGGCGGGGGCTGCGCGGTTCCCACGCGCCTCGCGGGGCCGGGCGGAGAGAGGTGGGGTGGGGGCCCTAGTGGGGCTGGGGTGGGGGGCTATACGTGGGGTCGGGCTCTGCGATTTCCGGCGGAGGGGTTGCTTTTCTCGGACTTTGAAGGTCACCCCGCCCCACTCCTCCACCCCCGCTGCGCCACCCCAACCATATCCAGATTCCCCCAAGGTCAGAGACCTGCCCAGGGTAAAGGGTAGGCAGAGTTCTGGGAAATTAGGCTGGGAAGACCAAGCCCAGACGTAGTGAACCTCAAGTCTTGAACTCTGACCCTCATTCTCACCCTTAAATACACACCCACTAGGAAAGTGAGGGAAGTGAGATGAGTCGGCCCGGAGAGGGCTGGATCCTGTCTTTATTTTAAATGTGGATGTTTTGTTCATTATATCATTTTGTGCATTAACTTTGATTTTTTTAAAAATATCTCAGTCAAATATTATTTATCTTGATTTCTAACTTTTTTTGGCGCCCCCATAAAATTTGCACCTCAGGCAAGTAAATGCCTCATTGGCCTCTCCCTAGTCCCAGCCCAGCCACAGACAGGGCCATGGACACAGAGTTGGGAACAAAATGAGAACGCACAGTCATGAGATAGGTGCTGGTGACAAACAGCCAAGCCAAGCAAACACACTTCCAGCAAACACAGATGGACACAGGCTGGGGAGAGTGGACCGGTGTGTGAGGTGGTGGGCAGGCTTGGGGCCTGGAACACGAAGGAGGGAGTCTGGGGCAAGCGACAGTCTCAGAGTGGGAGATGGGGTGGGATCAGCCCTTTGCACCCTACTCCTATGCCAGGGACCTGAGGAAGAAAGACGTAAGACGGCAGAGGGTGACAGGACTGGCTGGGCCTACCCAGAAAACCTCCCAGCACAGGCTGGTGTGAGTTGAGGCCCTGAGGCTGTCCAGCAGAGGGCCCTGGCATCCAGCAACCATCTCTGGTCAGGGAAGGGCTCCGAAGGGGCGTGGATGTTGGCTGGGGGCCCGGGCAGGGTGACCGCCAGATGGGCTTCTCTCCAGCAATAACAGTCCTGGCTGTTGCCATCTAGTGAGCAGGCCAGGCCTCAGCGGGGGTGGGGAGAGGAGCCAGCCTTTCCCCTGTCTGGCCTGGGACCCTCACCACTTCCCTCCAGTTGCTTTCCCCTTCCAGCCCACTCTGCACACAGCCTCACCCACTGGCCACCAGCCTGGCCATGCCAGGCACGTCTGTCTGACCACTAAGTCCTGCCACCCCCACGGGCCCAAAGATGGGAAATGAAGGTGGGGACAGAGACCTGGGCCAAGGAAGAGGGGAGAGGAGGGCTGGGAGAGGAAGAGCGAGAGACTGGACAAACACAGAATGGGAATGGGGGTGGGTAGACCCAGACATGAAGTGGCCCTCAAGTCGTGGGGCATTGCCTAAAAAAATACCACCCTACCCCTCTTCCTGCCCTCTGTTTGCTTAAGGCTGGGGGGTGATGGTGTGTCATGTCTCCGTGGGAAGCGCCGGAAGGCTGAGAACACCCCTTCTGGAGTAGCTTGGGGACAGTCCACTGACCTTAAGTAGAAAAACTACACCTCCCTTCAGGGCCCAGTCTGTTTCCTGGCAAGAGGGTATGACCCTGCCTCATCCTTGATGTTAGTAATGCTAATTGGTTTGGTTTTTAAAAAATATATATTTAGGGCGCCTGGGTGGCTCAGATGGCTAAGCGACTGCCTTCAGCTCAGGTCATGATCCCAGGGTCCTGGGATCGAGCCCCGCATCGGGCTCCCTGCTCCTTGGGAGCCTGCTTCTCCCTCTGCCTCTCTCTCTCTCTCTCTGTCTCTCACGAATAAATAAATAAAATCTTTAAAATATATATATATATATATTTATTTATTTGAGAGGGAGTGGGAGAAGCAGACACCCCGCTGAGCAGCGAGCCCGATGTGGGACTCGGACCTCTGGATTATGACCTGAGCTGAAGGCAGGCGCTTACCGATTGAGCCACCAAGGCGCCGCCTGCTAATTGTTAATTAGTGTCCATGGCTTCTCCAGGGGACAGGTTTCTTGGGTAGTTGGGGTGTGGGGGGTGTGGGCGTTGGATTGGACTTTGTGTCTTCAAACCTCACCAGCAGACCGATTATCCTCCAGCACTGAGGGCTGCTACAGGGGCCCTGATTCTCCCCTCCCCCCAATTTACTGGCCAACCAAAAGCAGGGGAATCATTCCCCCTCCCGTGGAGGTGCAGGAAGGGCAGACCACTCCTCAGCATGCCCACCCCCTTCCTCCTCAGCCAGTGGCGGATGTGGGACTCAGCAAGGCTTGGCATTTGCCTCTGGGGACAATAGGATTCACTCAGGATGTAAGGCTGTTTGGGGCTTTTTTTTCTTACCATCTCCAACTGTTTCTCAGCTTTTCCAAAGTTATGGATTTAGAAAGAGTGAATCTTGAGGGGCCTACAGACCTGTGCCTCTACCCCATCCACTACCCTCCCCCCAGACACGCATCCCCCTCCAAATCCCAGTTGAGGTTGGTGTGGTGTTTGCGTGTGGGTGTGCGGGTCTGTGTGTGTTAGAGGTGGGAAAATCAGGTCACTGATTATACTGACGATGCAGAGGGGTCCCTGGGCATGGGGGTTGGGGGAGCAGAGGATAAGTGCGAATGGCAGAAGGTGGCCCTGAAAAGGGAGCGGGCGCTGGAAAAGGAAAAGGTGCACTGGAGAAAGTGGCGTGGGAGGGGGTTGGGGGGAGTGATATCGGAATATCTGGGAGGGGACTCCGCACCGCTCTGGGCAGAGGGTTGGCTGCAGGGACAGTAGGAGTTTCTGGACCCCCAGCGCGGAACAGACTAGGGATGATACCCCTCCAGCCCCGGGTGCTCGTTAACGCGGCCGGGTTTGGTGTGGCACGGCCCAGAGGTCCTGTCTTAAGAAATAACGCGAGGGGTGGGCCCGGCAGCCCCGGGGGGAGGGAGCATGGGCGCGGCGGCTCGGGAAGGGGGGTAGGCTCGCATCCGGAGCTGCTGGGGGGGGGAGTAGCTGGGGCGGGGCCGCGGCGGCGCGGGCGGGGCGGGGGGGGGAAGCGTACGCGCGCCGGGTAGGGGGGAGCGGACTGCGGCCGCGGGCCGGGGCGGGCCGGGGCGGGCCCGGGCGGGCCCAGCGGAGGGCGGGTTTGAATGTGCTCCGGCGGGCGCGGGAAGCTGCCGAGAGGGCGCGCGGATCTCGGCGCCGTAGGACTCTTTCCTAGCAGGTGCTGCCCGGGC